TATGATCATGTGATTCTTTTATTTTACTTATATAGTGGATTACACTGATTGCTTTTCTAATGTTAAACTCTCTTTGCGTACCTGATATAAATCCCACTTGGTTGTGATGTATTACTTTTTTGATATGATGTTGGATTGTATTGACTAGAATTTTTACATCTAAGTTCATGAGAGATATTGGTCTGTCATTTTTTTTTTTTTTTTTTCAGTAGTGTTTTTGCCTGGCTTTGGAGTCAGAGTTATGCTTGCCTCATAAAATGAATTCAGGAGTATTCCATCCTTTTCTATGTTCTGTCTTTTCCTTGATTTTTGTTTGTAGTTTCCTTGATTTTGCAAGGCCCTATATATAGATCTTTTAAATTCTTTATTAAGTAGTCTTATTACCTCTTATTCCTCAGGGAAGTTTTCAGGTTCTTTATATTAGTCACTTGTTTGCACCATCTTGCCCTCTTTCTTTGTTTGATTTGAAGTTACCTGTTGTGTCTAAGATATTTTGGAGTTGATGTGTTTATGGTTGATTATGTGTTGGTTTATTTCACCTTGATTTTTCATTTTGCTTTGTTTTTATATATCCATGTGGGCAGAGTGGGCTTATGTTCTGGTTACCTAGGCCTCTCTGACAAGAATATACCACAAATGAGATGGCCTTAAAAAATAGGAGTTTATTCTCTTACAGTTTGGAGGCTTTAAGTTCAAGTTCAAAGTGCCAGGCTCTAGGGGCTGGGTGAAAGTCCCTCAACCTTGGGGTCTGGCACCCTGGAGCCAGAGGTGTTTCTTCACTCAGACAGCTGCTGAGGCTGAGAAGCCCAAGGTTGACAAGTGAAAAATCACAGTCTTGATGTCACCAAACCACATGGCAGGCCATTAATTTAGGTCCATTATAAGTCCCAAGGTTGGCAGAGCATGGCAGGCTGCTGAACAATGACACGGCTACATGCAGGGTCCAAGCGTGCCATAGGCTAGAGACTATCCCCAAGACTTTTCCTTATACACAGGAAGCAGACCACATCCCAAAGGCAGCTACTCAGCTGCTTGTGATAGTTTCCACCACGGAGTTGATTGCCATTCTCATCATGCGGAATAACTACCACCAGCTGCCCAACCACTCAAGCAGGCCCAGCCAAGTTGACACACAAACATAACTTCCACAGCTTGCCACGTTAGTGGCTAGTTTAGCAGCACTGGGATGTTCCCTACTTGTAATCAAATGCCAATCACCATGGTGGTGTGCTCCTAGCATGCATTCTTGGATGTGCATGCCCCCAACAGTGGAAGTTGTGAGTGATGGGCACTTGGTCTGCACATGTGCATGCCTTTGACAGCAGAGGCTACAGCTGAGCATTATGAGTCCATGAGAGCTCGCCCTATCAATCCCATGGGTGCCAAGTGTGAGAGTGCAATCCACAGGCATGTGGCTCCATCCACTGGGGGTGTGGTGCAGTGGGTGGCCCCTGGGTAGGAGAAAGTGGTCTTAGTGAACTGGATGGGTGAGTAGTAGCAGGGGAGTTGTCGCTGTGTATGAGCATGGTTGGTGGTGACCCCTAGTCACTAGGAATGTGTGTGGGAGAATGCAAGGTAATATACTTCCCTAGTTGCCCAGTACATTTTAGGAAGTGGGCAGCCAATTTTCTGGTTCCTGTGCCAACACAGTCACATTTGGGGGGCGGTACTAGGGCCCACTGCTTATGAGTAGTTTCATCCCCATTTACTGTCTGCCTCCCCACTCTGTGGTCACTTGTGGGCATTCTCTCTCACTTTCTTGTACTTTCCTCTGTTAGATTTACCTTATATTCTGCTCACTTTGCTTCACTCCAGATTTATTTATACTGTATGTCTGTCTTAACGGGAATTCTATTCTCTTCACTTGTGTAAGATGAGTTCTCCTTATTTGTGTGTTGCCTCTGTGCCTCGAAGAGCCACCTTCTGTCGGCCCCCACTCCATCTCTCTCTCCCTGGTCACTGTTTGCAATCTGTTTATTTTTCCAATTAGTGTTTAATCCACCATTCTTTATCCTTTCCTTTGATGCTCAGAGTTCTAGAAATATCATCTGTATCTGTTTCACTTATTTTTTCCCCCCTGGATGTTTGTTGTTGAGGTAGTAGGTATTTAAACTTCTTAATCATTGCTAAATTTGAAAGATAAGATTTAATGCATAAATTACTTTTAAAAAAATTTTCCTTAGGAGTCCCTAAGTGGCTCAAAGAGTTAACTCTTCAATTACTAATTGAAAGATTAATAATTGGACGCTAAAAAGATCAGAATTACTGGTCTGATAGAGAAAATGGTGAAACCCCCAAGAGTATGGTCCCTAGTCACCCTTCAAGCCTGGATTTGAATTCACTCCTGTGGCTTCCAGCAAAACAATAGACAGACATATAAGGTGAATATTTACACAAAGTAGATACACTCCTTAGAGCAATCAACCATGGGAGATCAGAAAGGCAGTGTTTGCACAGGAAGATAGTGCAGAGGGCAGGAATGCATCGGAAAGAAGAACACAGGGAAAAGGTAACCACAGGGAGGAAGTACACAGAGAGCTGTTACATTATGGGGATTGCACTCAATCTCAAAAAAACAAAATGTGTATGAACTGTTGTATAGGAGCTCTGGTAGTGTACTGCCTAAGGCACTTGACTGCTAACCAGAAGGCTGGAGATTCTAACCTACCTGCCACTCCTCAGAAAGAAGGTTGGGCAATCTACTTCCGTAGTGATACTGCCCCAGAAACCCAAGGAAGGGTCACTATGAGTCAGGTCCGACTTGATGGCACATAACAACAACACAACAGGGAGGAAGTACATAGAGAGCTGTTACATTATGGGGATTGCACTCAATGTCAAAAAACAAAATGTGTGACCTGTTGTATGGAAAATGAAGTTGCTCTGTAAACCTTCATCCAAATCACAATTAAAAAAAAAAAAAAAGGCCAGTGATTGGAACCCACTAAGAAATGCCTTGGAAGATGAGCCTGATGATCTGCTTCTTAAACATCTTAGCCTTCAAAACCTATGCAGCAACTGTACTTTTCACACATGGGGTTGCCATGAGTCACAAATGACTTGACAGCAACTAGCAATAACAAGTCCTTCCTTAAATGTGAGAATAATGTAATGAAAAAAAATGAAAAGAAACTACTTATTTGACCAGGTTAAAATGCCAGAACAGCTATCTATAAGGATATAAAGTTTAAATCTGATTTACGTTCTAAGTTTGAATTTAGATTATGTATAATTGAAACTCTACAATTGTATGTGCTACTTGTTCACTGTGATCTCAGTTAGATTAGACATGATACTAAGGTCTCAAAGCAATGAGTTTACCTCCTCTCCAATGAAATATGCTAGTTTCCATGAACACTGACTGCCTTAGCATCACCAGATATACCTCAGATATATAGCTTTCATCATATGGTCTGAGACTAAATACATTCTAGAAATATTGTCTCCACCATGTGAGTTGAGGAAAGAGAAGGACTCTCAAATTTCATCTTAAAAATGAATTCACAGCACCATTTTGTGTACAAAAGAGACTATTTCTAATTACCCATAAATAATGGAAATAGTTTTAAAATCTAAAGAAAATAAAATAAACTGTTCCTGAGCTGGTCTGCACTGCCATCTGAGTCTATTGTTTCCCTTAATCAACTGACGAGCCCATCAACCACTAGCATGGAAACTATACAAGGTCTAAGAATCATTCCACTAATAACATTCCATAAAATTAGTGCAGTTCTCTATATTCACTTAAATTCTTCTCTGACCTCTGGACCCATCAGCTAGTCAATACTCTTTGCCCACGTGTTAAGTTTGCCTTAAAGTTTTGGTTGGATTGGTTCTCAAAACTTTTGCTGCACAATAGTTTTGTCTAATAAACAGTTTATCAAACTAGCTTTGGACACTTGAAATATGTGACCCTCAGGAGCTTCATCTGTAAAATGATTATTTGGGTTTGAAAAAGATTATCTTCATAATTCTGTCTAGCACAATAATCTTGGATTAAACTGTGATTTTTTTTTTTTTTGCATTCTTTAGATATGGTCCTTAGGAGATCTGGTGGTGTAGTGCCTAAGGCTAACCAGAAGGCTGATGGTTCAAACCCACCAGCCACTCCTTGGAAGGAAAATTGGGCAACCTACTTCTGTAGAGATACCATCTCAGAAACCCATGAATGGGTCACTGAGTCAAATCGACTCAACAGTAGTGAGTTTGGTTTGGTTTTGGTTTTAGATATGGTAGCACATGGCCTTTGAGAAGTAATTAAGAGCCAAGAGCAAAGTGTAGTATGACAAAATTATAGCAAACCTTGACTTCGGTGACTCAACCCTGACCAGAGTCTCAAGAGTCAGATTATCCAAGTAAAGGCCAGAAAGGGACAGTAAATAGATACTGTTATAATAACAACTCCCTTAAATTCTAAAATGGGGAGTACAGCTTTTCAAAGTGACTAACTTACTGTGTAAACCCATCTTTACTCCCTAGAAAAATCTTAAAATTTTATTCATATGGAGAAAATATCCTTCCTTAATTTGAAAATGTCAATTTCATGTCAGTGATACCCTTTATAGGAATGTTGATTCTGAGATTAAGATACAGCACCATCTCTAATCACTTTTGAATGTTTTGTAGAGTTCATATTATTCCCAACTGGAAATTAATTTACTGCAATTGCCCAAATGTTTCATGTTAACAGAAGAATAAATACAATCTATGAGGTAGTGGTTAAAGCATTTGGCTGCTAACTGAAAGGTTGGTGGTTCACACTTACCAGCTGCATTTCAGAACAAAGATGAGTCAGTCTGCTCCTGTAAAAGATTTACAGTCTTGGAAACCCTATGGGAAAATTCTACTTTGTCCTATAGGATTTCTATGTGTCAGGATCAACTTGATGGCAGTGGGTTTTGTGTGTGTGTTTTGTGTGTGTGTGTGTGTGTGTTAGTTCAGCACTGTACAGAGATAACTCTGCTAATGGAAAAATGACATTGACTTGCTCTGTTTTTTAGGCCCTGTCACACCACAGCCATCACCTTGTGAAGTTGATCAATTTTCCTGTATCTACACACGCCAGTGTGTCCCTCTCTCAGGAAAGTGTAATGGACAGGAAGATTGCATAGATGGATCTGATGAAATGGATTGTTCTCTCAGCTCCCCTCCTCAGCTCTGTGGTGAAATGGAGTTCCAGTGCTCTGCAAACAAGTGTATCCCATCCCTCCTGCTATGTGATGGAGTGCCAGACTGTCACTTTAATGAAGATGAAGCCAGCTGCTGTGAGTTATTCTCACTAACTCAGTGTGCCAGGGAAGGAATGCTGTTTTGAAATGATAGAGAAAGCTTGACAGATAAAACAAAGTTCTCTAGAGTCTTACCATGGTCGCATCATCAATAATATATTTTGTTGTGATGTTAAAAGTACGTAGCCCTTAGCATTTCTAGAAACATTTCATTTGTAGTCACACTAATCTCTGCTGCACTTATCTGATATCCTTTTTTCTTTTATGTCTGGGTCAGTTATATAGGAGATGCTCCTATACATTTGCTGTCTTTTTAAGCAAATGTTTTTGAAAATGGATTGAATAAGTGCAATTATAATTTTTTCCCACCATATGTGTTCATGAAGATGGCTCAGGCAATGGTCTCTAGGCAAATATCCATTTTATTGAATGTATATTGTTAGCAGTTGAGCCTGGACAACTACCAGGGTATATTTCATGTCTGTGAGTTCATGGAATAGTCAATACTAAGAACTTAGTTTTGAATCTGACCCTTTCCCCTTACTAACTGAAGTCTTGGAAAAGTTACATGAGCTTTGTTAGTTTCAATTTCATCGTCCGGGTAATAATGCCAATAATACCTACATTGCAGGGCTATGAGGATTAGAGAGAATGCATACAAAAGAATGAGCCCTATGTTCAGTATCTCCTATTTTTATTTTAATTAGTCTAATCAGGCAGGAAGGAAAAATTATTAATTGAGAAGTAACAACACAAATCTTTTAGGTGAACATATAATCATGCTGGAGCTAACGTGCTAATATTTAATTTATTTGCTATATCATATCATATTATACTGTGTTGTATTTTTTGCTGGGGGCTGCAGTGATAGAGCTCCATAAGCAATATGTTAGTGAATACATTTTTTTCATTAGTGCAAAGCAGTTTAGAATGTGACTGTAAGAGTGGAACACTGAGAGAATTAAAAGGCTATTTCAGTACCTTGTTTAATATGGGCATCCAGAATTATGAAAACTATTGGAAAAGGAATAAAAAAAAGAAAAGAAAAGAAAAGGGAGATAGTTTAAAGACTTTAGCATGAAATCAGTGAGGCTTCTTCTCTGGTTTAAGCTTAGATATTGTTTTTCTACCTCACTGTTATTTTCTATATGTGTATTTTTGTGTGTATAATAAAGCCAACTTGTCATATCTTATAATATCTTTTCAGAGGAAAGTAAACAAATGGAAGTGAATGAAAAAGAAAAAGCCAGCCAAATAATTTATCCCAGTTCCCATGAGGGCTCTAATGCTTTTTGACTGATAGAAATCATATTAAGTTCAATATAGTTAGATGATATTTGACTTCACAGGAGAAGGCTATTTAAAAAGAAGCTTGGGAAAGTACTACGTCTTTATAATTTTTGCCACTATTTGGAAAATTAGAGTTTAACTAGGTAGTAACATAAAAAATTTTGCTCCTAAAAGAAACTAAGTGCATATTAGGAGTAGACTGGTACTATGAGATAATTAGCAATCCATCTCTTAAACTTAAGTGACTTGTGGGTTTCCAGGATAAATTGTGTGGAAATAAAATAAGGGAAAATATCATACCATATTACAGAATAAAAGCATTCAATGATCACAATTCACCAAATATTCAAAGGCATATTTGTTTTCTTCTGGGTTTTCCAATTGATTTGGAATATAAATTATATTCCCTCGTGTAATTATTCATAACCTTCATTAAAAAACTAATTTATGCCATGTATTATATTGGACATTAGTGATGCAAATGAACATGACATTTTTCCAGCTCAAGTGGTAGATATATTGTATACTCCTGAAGGAGGAAAATGAACAAAAGTTAGGAATACCTTGTGATGATAAATTATATTACAGAAATAAACACACAATGTTAATGAACACATAGGATACTTCCTAGCTGTGGTACTAGGAAGTCTGTATACTTTACCAAGGAAAGTGATTTCAGAGACAAATTTGAAAAGACAAGTAGTAATTAGATGAATAATGTACAGATACTTGTCTTGAATGAAGATTGTTCCAGAGATTAAAAACAAGCTGTCTGAATGAAGCATATTTTATATTCTTACTGTAAAGTTTAAGGTGATGACTGCAGCAATAAGTCTGGAAAAATTAGCAGGAACCAGGTCATGAAGAGTCTTCACCCATTATGCTAGAACTATATAGCTGTGTCTAAGTAGTATATGGAGTAGACTGGAAAGAGAGTGGTTAAGATGGGTGTTGCAGTTGGAGTGTACAGAGATTGATGAGATAATGGCATGAGGTAAAAGTAATTAATAGATTTAAAAGATATATAGGTTATGAAGAAAAGAAAGGAATGATTTCCCGTTTTCTGATTTAGACATGGCTAGTACAACCGGACCGTAGTGATATCGCCTCGGAAATCCAAGGAGGGGTTGCTATGAGTCGCAGCGACTAAATGGCACTTAACAACACTACAACCAGGCAGTCTACTTCCGTAAAGATTTACCACCTCAGAAACTCAATGAGGGTTGCTATGAGTCAGAATCGCCTCAAAGGCTGTGGTTTTTTTTTTTTTTTTTTTTTTGGGGGGGGGGGGGGGGGGGGGGGGGGGGGGGCGACTGAGGTGGTTTAAAGTGTCACATCCTCAGCTGGGAAAAATTTGAGAAGGAGACGTTAGGGAAAATTATGGCTTCATTTTCAGACATGTTATGTTAGAGTTATCTTTGACAAATCCCCATTGAGATGTTCACATTGTGTTTAGAAATGGATATCTGGAGCTCAGGAGAAAGATAAAGCAAGGTATATAAAGATGCTTGGCCACCAGCAAATTATGACAGAAGCTGTGGATATAGATGAAATAATATAGAAAGGAAAAATATAATATATCAATCAAATGGAATCCTAAGGAACTTCTAATGGACCCTGGGAGACACTGAGAAAACATGGTCATGGACATAAGAAAAAAAAAAAAAAACCGCCATCTAGAGGATTCAGACTCATACTAACAGAGCAGAACTGCCCTATAGTGTTTCCAAGTTTATAAGTCTTTGCAGACACAGACCATCTCATCTTTCTCCAAGGAAGTGGCTGGTGGGTTAGAAATGCCTATCTTTTGGTACAATGACCATCTGAAGTCAAAGGTAGAAAGCCTTAAGGAACAAAGTAGTCACAGAATGGAATGTGTGTGAGAGATAAAGTAATATTAGCCCCTCCAAAGAAAAACACAGATTTGGAATAGCAAACATAGTCCTTGGTGATCTTGGAGAGAGGATGACATTCTGTGGAATGGTAGGACAAAATTTTGAGGTCCATGTGTTGAAGAGCAGACAGGAAATGGCAGAGAGAGAAATAAATTGCAGATAACTCTTTCAAGAAGTTGGCATTCAGAGTAGAGATTAGGATAAAAGAAGAGGTTTGTTTGGTATTTTGTTTTGGAGAGACTTTAGCGTGTTTAAATGTTGATAGGAATGAGGATTCTGAGATGTTTATAATTTTAGGCAAAGAAATCAGTAACACTTGATATTTTAAAGCTTTTATTACTCCAGAATTCGGAGCTCTGGTAGCATAGTGGCTAAAGCACTTGACTGCTAACCAGAAGGCTGGCAGTTCAAACCCACCAGCCACTCCTCGGAAGGAAGGTTGGGCAATCCTACTTCCATAGTGATACTGCCTCGGAAACCCAAGGAGGGGTCGCTATGAGTTGGGGCCGACTCGACGGCACATAACAACAACAACAACAAGTGTTTAGAACAATCCTATGATGAGTTAAACATTTAAAACTAATTTATGTTTAATATTGGATTTGTTAATTTTTTATAAGCTGAAGTGGTACTTCTTTATCTAAAAACATCCCCTATTCCAACTCTGCTAAATGGCTTTTCTCTGTAAAAATTAAAATTTAAAATGTATTTCAAAACTCTGCTCTTACTTTCAGCCTTAATAGACCTGCTAACATTAAAGGAAAGTCTTGTTTTTACAATACTTCTTACATATACCAGTGCTTTGCCAACTGAATTGACACTGGCCTATGATATTTCTTAAGGCACTCTGGTGGTGTAGTGGGTAGGGCATTTGGCTGCTAACTAGAAGGTCAATGGTTCAAACCCACCAGCTGCTCCCCAAGAAGAAAGTGAGGCAATCTACTTCTGTAAAGTTTAAAACCTTAGGAACCCAGTGGGGGTCACTATGAGTCAGAATTGACTTGATTATAGTGGGTTTAGTTTTGGTTTACAGCATTTCTTTTATTATTATATTGAAGTATTAATCAATCACTCCTGTACTGTTATCTTTTTGTTGTTATTGTATGTTCTAGTCCTGCTTCCTTTTTTAAATTCCACCACAGCATGTGCCATTCAAAGTGCTAAGTATAGTGTCCACATGTAGTAAGAGCTCAGTAAAAAGCTGTTGTGGCGCACTGCCTAAGGCATTTGACTGCTACCAGATGGTTGGCAGTTCAAACCCACCAGACACTCTGAGGAATGAAGATGGGGCAATCTACTTCCATAAAGATTTACCACCTAGGAAACCTAATGGGGGTTTCTGTGAGTTGGAATCAACTGGATGGCAGTGGGTTTAGGTTTTTTTTTTTTTTTTGGTATGAATTGATGTTCTAGCACCTTTGAAAGGATTGTTCAATAAAGAGTATCACTTTAATTTTTCAAATTCAGTATTTTTAGTCGGTGGAAACACATAATCTTAAAAATACCATTTTTATATTTCATTTAAAAATATATTTTGATAGGAAGTTCTCAACCTAAATTGTGTCAGTGACCTATGATGCCTCCAATAAAGAATTCCTTCTAACCTATACTTATACTTGTGACATAACTGGAAAAATCTGCACGTGGATGGGGATATTTATCCCTGGGTCTTCTAAGTGATCGCTTTACCTTAAAAAGGTTGACGTCTAATTGTCTTTATTCTACTACAAGTAATTGCCCAGATCAATCATTCTCAAATTTTTAGCAACAGGAGTAAAATTTTCAAATAAGATATTGTATAAAACTCACTGTCATTGGGTCCATACCAACTCATAACATCCTTCACGGGTTTCTGAAGTGGTAAATCTTTACAGAAGTAGATTGCCCCATCTTCCTTCCACAGAGCATCTGATGGGTTTGAACTGCCAACC